ACACAACACCACCCCCCCCCCCCCCCAAAAAAAAAAAAAAAACTCCCCTCCTATGCCACTTTTTTTTCTCTCTCTCCCTCTCCCTCTCTCTACTATTAACTCACTCTTTCTCCTTATAAGCATCTCCAATCCAACTCTCCAAAATAATTAGCCAAAATATATTTAAATATTATATTCTCCATTTTAATTAGTCACTTTTACAAATTCACTCCAACCACACTCTCTATTTTAGCTAACTATCTCACCCAATTTTCACTAACTTTCCAAGGAAATACAACATATATATAGAGAGAGATAAAGAGAGAATTTAGAGGGATTAAATAACTCTCCATNAACTTTCCAAGGAAATACAACATATATATAGAGAGAGATAAAGAGAGAATTTAGAGGGATTAAATAACTCTCCATATTTGGAGAGTCATTTAGGCGAAATGGGAAATAGAGAGTGGATTAGAGACAATTTTTTGTATATAGCTAGCTAAACTAATTAAACGAGAGGAAAAGAAGAGTAGGTTGGAGATGCTCTAAAACCATTGTACAAAGACATTGCTAAAAGCCATAAAACACAAACATGCAGATCCCCCAAACTCCCCTCTGACACAAGTAAATTCCCCTCGCCATAACCTCTTCTCTCTCTCTCTTTCCCCCTCCCCCACCCATCATCGTTTTCCACCAGGCTATAACCTTTTTCTCTCTCTCCCTCTTGCGCAGACCCCATCCACGATGAAGGCAGATGGTGGTGTGTTTTATGATAGTGGGTTTTAATTTAATTTGTGAGAAAATGGTATTTAATTTGTTGGGTTTTAAAATAGACTAATTAGTTTTTGATTTTTTTATTTTTGAGTAAGATAAGGGTAGTCTGTTTGGGTATTTAAGAGGAAGATATGCTAACATCATCAAAGTTTGATGAAATGACAAACGAATACTAACGAATTGGGGTTATGTGTTACACGGAATCAAACCTTGAGGGATTGGAATGTTATTTTTCACACTTGAGGGGGTCTATATGATTAAGCGATAAATCTCAGGAGGTCCAGGTGTAATTTACCCTAAAAAATAATTTGTGACCGTGACTAGGTTAGGGCATAACATATGGTAAAAATAAAAAATATAAGGATAATTTCAATAAAATAGTCGTGTAAAATGGGAGTTCTTGTAAGGATACTTTNGGTCTATATGATTAAGCGATAAATCTCAGGAGGTCCAGGTGTAATTTACCCTAAAAAATAATTTGTGACCGTGACTAGGTTAGGGCATAACATATGGTAAAAATAAAAAATATAAGGATGATTTCAATAAAATAGTCGTGTAAAATGGGAGTTCTTGTAAGGATACTTTTGTAAAATTACATTATTCGTTAACGTTGTTAGCTGACAAAATTGACAGGGATATACAATGATATTTCAGATATCATAAGAGATATTAGAAGAGATATCAAAATGAGTTCTTGATCTAATAGTACTTCCTTATCTTGTGACTTTAATTTCTTGAAATTAAGTGTTCAAGTCTCTTTCCCCTTTCCCTTTTTCTAAAAAGAAAAAATAAAAAATAGAAGAGATGTCAATGAAATATCACATAAACGCAACGGGGGTCAATACAATTGTAGGGAATTTGTAGAATAGAACTTGATAAATTTGATGAATGGAGAGCTAGCATTTGAGAATTAAAAATTCTCTTTTTTATGAAAGTAGTAGAGTTGGGATTTCCGATTTTCCCTANTTATCTTGTGACTTTAATTTCTTGAAATTAAGTGTTCAAGTCTCTTTCCCCTTTCCCCTTTTCTAAAAAGAAAAAATAAAAAATAGAAGAGATGTCAATGAAATATCACATAAACGCAACGGGGGTCAATGCAATTGTAGGGAATTTGTAGAATAGAACTTGATAAATTTGATGAATGGAGAGCTAGCATTTGAGAATTAAAAATTCT